AAATGAATCTGCAAAATACCGAAATAACATGGAAGGCGTTGTCAATTTTCATTGAAAGATAGTTATCATGAAGTTCAGCAACTAGATCGATGGATCAGTATTGAAGATGAATTGTCTTTTTCTTCATCATACTTCCATTCTTTGACCCTGCGTAGTTTTTTATTACCTTGAATCACCATTTTCTTTCGATTTCCTCAATCATTTTGTTAATCTTCTTCAGAATTTGGATGTGAAAGATCACAATAACTAAAAAGTTGAGTATTTTCAATATGATTTTCACATCATATTTCAACTCATTACACAGAATTCAAATCATTGATTTTTTGTAATTTTTTTCATTTAAAATCACCACCAGTGAATTTTGTTATTTAATGAACAATGTATCACATGATGAATAATAATCCGACATAATATCAACTCAATAGCGTATTCAAACATTTCAGTGAAATTATTAGCGCTCACATGAAATTATTTATTTTATTATAGACAGCATATAAATGAATGACTGAAATTTCATTGAAATCAGTCATGATTTCTCAATTGTTTCTTGGTATATTCAAAAATATTTTTATTTCACACGTTATCACGTTAAAAGGTGAGACCCCGTTAGTTCTTAGCTCGCACAAGTTTCTCAACTTCTGAGAGTTGTCGTTCGTATGGAGATGACAGCTGATTAAACGGAAAAACAGATTTTAAACAAACAGATTTTTAAACAGTATAGCTTTGTTGCGAATTCCGCCCAAATGTAACGACACGATTGCCTAATTTCTATTCGAAGTGCATTCTGATTATTTCGCTTCATTTCATGAACTTCATAGACTCTAAAAAAAATATCAGGGATTTGATATCATCATATCTGCAGAGGTCACAGTTTGGGAGAACTGTTTCCTCCCACCCAACACATAGGTTTGGTGAAATAAATGAATTTGTTGGAAGCCATGGAAATCAATAAATCAATTAATATATAGAACCCTTAACGAACAAACAGATTTGTGTAAGTCTCCACTTTTGAATTTATAAAGATGACAACACAATTAATCACAGTTTGAAGTTTATGTAGTTGGTATTAAGAGCCCTATGGAGTGGCAGTGCCATATTGGGAATCGCGAAAACACTTTGTAAATAAATGAGATGGTACATAAAAAATATGTATAGGGAAAAGTTTTCGATAATGTATCGAAAAATGTCGCTAACTTTTTTTTTATTTATTTACCCAAACATGTTTTCAACTTTTTATTTCTTTGACCAATTTCAAAAGTTTTACGTTAGCGACATTGTACGATTGAATATAGTCAACTTCTTCATGGAATAAAATATGATATAATGTTTGCCACAAGCGACTGGTAGTAGGTAATATAAAATATTGATTCACAAATCTAAAATACAATACGAACGTGAAGTTGGCTGCCAGACCCAGCTGCTACATTTTCGGAACGACCAGTGGCGTGTATCCCCACTATTAGCGGAATGAATATTGTAGCATAGGAATATATAAATAGATATAGTTGATATTTGTTGCAGAAAATCGAGTTATACGCTAATTGAGATATGAAATTGCTTCATTATACATGAAATTGGGAGAACTTTTTCCGTGAAATATTTATATCTGAAGTTTCTTGCTAAATTATTCTCCTAGGTCATACACTGCGAAAAAGAAATTAAAAAAAATTTTTTTGAAAACTTTTGCAACAGACTGCTTAGACGCTTCATAGTAAGAAGTCATCATAGTGACCCNACACTTTTCTAATGTATGTTCTTCTTTGCAAAATAAACACTTTACTGAGGAAATTCGAGAATTCTGAGAAGTTACTAAAGTGGATTTATATCTATCTTTATTTAGGATTTGATTGGAAGTCTTACCTACATTCACAATTGATTGAACATAGCTGGCAGCTTCTGCCTTTTCCCAAATCAAATTCTTGAAGGCCACCAAAGTGTTAAGACCTCTTGCCTTTGCTGCTTTTTCTCCTCAGGACATTGAATTGAAAATGGTAACTTCTGTATCATTTCATCAAGTAACTGCGGACAGCTCAAATAATTCGTCATTTCCATGGCTTCAAGTATTACAATCAGATTGGAAACCTCATCTGCAATATGATTCAAACTCTTATAGTCGTTGTTTTTAATAACTGCCAAATTATTCGCTTCATTGACTAAACTTCTAACAATTAGGTCTGATCTACCAAATTTACTTATCAAAATGTCATGAACTGTACTCACTGATGAAGCGGACAATAGTAAACCTTCAACACACCTACGAGCATCACCTTTCAATGCCTTACGTAGTCTACACATATTTTCTTCACTTGACGAACCTAATATTTTTGTCGTGGAAATATACTGTTGGTAGAAACTTGGCCACTCTGTTATTTCACCGCTAAATATGGGTAAATCTTTTTCAATTGCCTGCCTTTCTAAAAGGATTTTAATTTCATGACCTGATACACTTTTATTACTTGAAATATCTAAATTAACATCATTTTTCGGTTGAACTATGCGACACTGACATTGACTATGACATGAATGTGACATTTTTGAAGACTTTTTATCTGATTTTTCATCAGAAAATCGATCAACTCTCACTTTGTTTCTGTGCTAATTACCTACCTTCTCATTAGAATATTGAGAAGATAATTCATTTCTGTCTTTAAACTGCATATCATCACTTACTGCGTCATATTGTTCTTCTAATTTTGCCTGTTCTAAAGCCAACCTATCCTCTATCAGCTTTCAATTGCGCTTCCAATCTTTTTCTCTGATACTTAGTACTTGCTTTGGATACTACTGAGTGCTCACGATGACTCTTAGTGGACTGTACATTTGATTTCCTGCTTGGTAGAAGATATCTTGTTTTCCTCGTCACCTCGCTTAGAATCGTTAATGGGAACCTCGGTCTTGGATTTCAGAGCTCGACTTTTACTTTTTGTTTCCATATTTCTTACTCCGTAGGCTCAAAGACCAGCACAATGTTTAGTTTTACCTGTAAATACGTAGTCAGTTATCCGGTCGAAAGGCCAGCAAAATGTTTAGTTTTACCTGTAAATACGTAGTCAGTTATCCGGTCGAAAGGCCAGCACAATGTTTAGTTTCACCTGTAAATACGTAGTCAGTTATCCGGTCGAAAGGCCAGCACAATGTTTAGCTTTTTTCAGATGGAGAAATTGGGAAAAAATTATATTTTTAACTTTTTTCAAGGAACTTTTATTTTCGAATTGAAGGGGTTATATTTTTAGGAGTGATTAATTTTTTGGGAAAGAAAGTTTTTGGCTTTCTACTACTCCATCTGATACAAAAAAAGGGATGAGTTGGTATAATAATAATCAATAATAATTTTTAAGAATTGGGGAAATTGGTCATTCTCATCACTTACTTTTCATCCCGTCAAGTAATCTGTCCAAAGTGGAGCACAGTTCTCATTTTTCACTTTTCAAATGCAATTGCACTTTGTATCATTGGATTATTCATTGGGACTTTTTACTCACCTACTTCTGCTTCAAGAAAACGAGCAGTTCACTTTGTTGCTTGCACCACCTACTGAGATAATGAATTATTCAAGTTTCTGTTCCAAAATTCAATTCCCGTCTAGTGATTATTCATATTATATTGTAATCATCTTATATTCCAATCCCTTTGCCGCATATTAGAATGAACGTCAAACGATCTCAAGTTGAGCAATTAAAACGGTATGGTCCTCTTTGTGCGAGTTAGGATAGGCATGTGATAAGAAATGTTCTACTATATTCTTGCCGCACTTATTTCGAGTGCTTACTTCCTCTACCCGCCAGCAGGGACGTGCGTCTTTGATTAATTTGGCTACACAGAGTGAAGCAAGAACAGAGATGCAATATCGTTGACAGATAATAAGTTAGTCACGTGCTCCCAGGCCTCTTAATTAGCCGTTTCTGACAAATTATTTAACGGATCAACTTGAAAATTTCAAAGTATGCATAAATCAATATGAGCTACACGCCTAAAATATATCAGATGAAGCGGCGTTGTCGCTTCTACTATAAAGTGGCGGCTTCTTTGATTTTTCAAATGGAACACCCCGTATATAATATCATATTATGNAGGTAAGTAATATGAAAAACATTCTGAATACTAATCAAGCCCATTCCAAAACTGGAGAAATGTTCAGAGTGTAATAATCTTGTTATCCATATAAAATATTGATTCACAAATCTAAAATACAATACGAACGTGAAGTTGGCTGCCAGACCCAGCTGCTAAATTTTCCGAACGACCAGTGGCGTGTATCCCCACTATTAGCGGAATGAATATTGTAGCATAGGAATATATAAATAGATATAGTTGATATTTGTTGCAGAAAATCGAGTTATACGCTAATTGAGATATGAAATTGCTTCATTATACATGAAATTGGGAGAACTTTTTCCGTGAAATATTTATATCTGAAGTTTCTTGCTAAATTATTCTCCTAGGTTATACACTGCGAAAAAGAAATTTAAAAAAATATTTTTGAAAACTTTTGCAACAGACTGCTTAGACGCTTCATAGTAAGAAGTCATCATAGTGACCCGATCTACCCGTCACATAAAAATAATTCCTTGCTTTGGGTGATAGACTGCTTCATAGTAAGAAGTCTATCACCCAAATGCGTCGTGAGCAAGGAATTATTTTCAGGGAATGGTTAGATTGGGTCACTATGATGACTTCTTACTATGAAGCGTCTAAGCAGTCTGTTGCAGAAGTTATCAAAAGTTTTTTTTTTGAAAATATTTTTTGCAGTGTATCACCCAAATGCGTCGTAAGCAAGGAATTATTTTTATGTGACGGTTAGATCGGGTCACTATGATGACTTCTCAATATGAAGCGTCTAAGCAGTCTGTTGCAAAAGTTTTCAAAAATATTTTTTTAAATTTCTTCTTCCCAGTGTATGACCTAGGAGAATAATTTATCAAGGAACTTCGGAGATACATTTTTCACGGAAAAAGTTCTCCCAGAATAGGTTTAAAAGTATCACTTTCATTTACAGCACTACAGTTCAGGCTAATCCTTCAATCAATTATGATGATACTGATGAATCTGACGACTCAGACAAAGACAATTCTTCGAAAACTTGTGATATTCCTACGAAGGACTCTGAAGCCGAGGAGTTAGATTGCTGTGACATAGAAGTCGAAGTATCACAAGAGTAAGTTACTATTACAATTCTGTTTATACATTTCTAGAATGTGAACTTGAATGGAATCAACTTCCAGTTAGGTTGAAAGCGGGTCATTTTCAATATACCACACTTGCTTGCCTTCTCGAAATCTAAGTTGAAAATTATTTCTCTTTGTCTTAGAAACAATATATTTTTAGGGGAAAATGTCATGATTACATATTATGGGGGTGGAGTTACAACCTATTTTTTTTTATGGGGTAATACAATGAGAATATTTCAATTATCATGATATAACCTAGGTTTAATTTCAGTTTTGTTTTCAAATTGATACATTCTCACTGAAGTAAAAAACAATCTCATGAACAATAGATGGAATCATATATCGAACACTCCAAAATTTATAAAGCAACATTAAAAATATTCTTCAAGAATCATTCTATACCATATACAACTTTATTTCAACAACATATCTTAGTAAACATTCAAATAATATCTAAATTGGAAACATATTGACTATAGCTTTGATTTTTTCTCTTATTTGCAGGCAGGAGTCGACACCCTCACATATCTCTGGAAGGCGTATTTTTGATATTCAACATTTATTTGCACAATTGTTGAATGGCAAAAAACATGAGTTATGTGGCTGTGATTTTACAGATTGTGTTTTAATAAGCGAACACAAACGAGGCCTATATAGTGAATTTTTGTTTAAATGTAAAATGTGTGGCATAACAGAAACTATCACAACAGAGAAGTGTCAGCAGGAGACTACAGACATAAACATCAATTCCAGTGTAGCAGTGGCGGCGATTTCAACAGGTATTGGATTTTCCCAAATTGAGGAATTAGCAGCTACTATTGATATGCCAATGATGTCGAGCAAGACATTCAACAAATATCATGATAAAGTGTCAGAAACCATTTTGACATCAGCATGGTCATCAATGGTTGAGGCTGGTCAAGAGGAGGCAAAATTAGCTAGAGACTCTGAAGAAGTCGATAGCGAAGGAATACCATTTATAACTGTTGTTACTGATGGAGCTTGGTGTAAAAGATCATACAATGTAAATTATGATGCTTCATCTGGTGTGGTGAGTTATTTGATTATATCAAATTTGGCTCGAGTATTTAATTTGATTTTATTTTTCAGGCTTGTATAATAGGCTACCGTACAGGAAAGATTTTGTACTTGGGAGTCAGGAACAAATATTGTACAGTTTGTGCAAGATCACAACATAAAGGTGTTGAACCCCCTGAGCACAAATGTTTCAAGAATTGGTCAGGTACCCCCACTGCCATGGAAACTGATATAATAGTTGAAGGTTTCAAATGTAGTTTGGAGATGCATGGACCGAAATACATGAAAATGATTGGCGATGGAGATTCATCTGTGCATAATAAGTTGTTAGAGTCAAGGCCTTATGGTCATATGTTGGTACAGAAAATTGAATGCAAAAACCATCTCCTACGAAATTTTTCTTCCAATTTGAGGGAAATAACTAGTAAATTATATGTACCCATTTAAAGATTTCATATAATAATAATAACATTCTTTTAGCTAGAAGAAGGAGTAATTCTAAGAATATGCCTGTGCCCTATTATTTGAGAAAAGAAGTTTCAGCAAGATCAATGAGACTGAGAACTGCAATTACAAAAGCAGCATTGCACAGAATGTCTGAAAACATATCTTTAGCAGAGAAAATAAAATTACTCGAAGTTGACATCAGAAATGCACCCTCTCATGTTTTTGGGGAACATGCAAAATGCAAGGAACTGCAATATTTCAAGTGCAACCCCACAGATGAAGAAGTTAATTTAGTACCATCTATGAAACTTCATGGATTTTACAGTGATGTGGAGGCATGCTTGCAGAGGCTTGTTCAAAATTGCAGCAGCCTCATTCTCAATATGGACAACAATATGGCAGAACATTTCAACAGTATTGTTTGCAAATTTGTAGGTGGTAAAAGAATAAACTTCTCACTCAAAGGGTCTTACCAGGCCAGGTGTGAAGCGGCTGCATTATCTTTCAACTCTGGAGGGGATTTCCATGGAAAATTACATCATGCCATAACTGGACAGGGTCCAACCAATTTGATGAAAAAATATTCTTCAAAAATGAAAAAGAGAAGGGTCCAAGTGAAACAAAGGAATCAACAGAGGCGAATGAAAATTGCTTTACCAGATAAAGATTATGGTCCAGAATCGAATATTCAACCACTGGGTGTAGATGACGTTGAATATATTAAAGTGAAAGAAGAATTCCTGAAAATGTTGGAAAAAAAACCTTCTGAAATAGAAGATATTCAGAGAGCTACACTTGGCCAGAGTGGAAATCCAAGATGGATTCAAGAAAAGTGTATGAGGCTCACCGCTTCCCATTTCGGCAAAATTTGTAAAATGCGACCAACAACTTCTTCCAGAAATACCGTCAAAAACTTATTATATAGTAAATTTACTGGAAATCAGGCTACTCGTTATGGTATTGCAAATGAGCCTCATGCCATACGAGCTTTCATGGATACTTACAATGTAGAAGTAGAGAATTGCGGACTTTTCATTGATGATATAGAATTTTATTTGGCAGCTTCCCCAGATGGCCTTGTGGGAGAAGATTCTATTATAGAAGTCAAATGTCCTTCAGTGATTTCAAAAAGAAATCCCTACCAAGGAATAATTGAAAAAAAAAGCTGAAATTTGCAGTATTGGATGAGAACAATAGGATGTCTTTGAAAAAAAAATCATGCTTATTTTTATCAAATTCAGGGGCAATTAGCAATCACCAAGCGAGTATTCTGTTACTTTATTGTCTGGAGTCCTCATGGCATGCTCGTGGAAAAGGTAAACAATTATGGCGTGTAATTATCTCTAAATAGGTTACAGAATAGTATCCAGGAAAAATTTGGATTTCTTTGTATTATTTTTACCAATCTCAAATTATCTGAATTCGCCTGGAATCACTTTCGAAATATGATCTCAAACATAGCTGTTCATCTAAATTGGACTAAATTCTTCACATACGAAATTATTGCTTATTGTTACCAAGTTTAAAATACTTGCTTCTATAAATGATCAATCAGTTATTTATATTTTTCAGATCGAACGAGATATTCCATTTTGGAACGAGGAGATGTTGCCAAAGCTGAAACTCTTTTATTTCAACAAACTCCTACCAGAACTCATTGATCCACAACATCCAAAGGTCGCCCAATAAGAGAATAATCGCCAGTACTTTAGACACTTTTCACCATAGACAACACCTTCATTTTAAAATACTACTCAGTCCAAGTGCAGATAATACCTGGTTGTATTAGGATATAACTATATATTCAACATTAACTCGCTCAAAACTTTTTTGTAGAGATCAATTACCCTATCACCAAACTGATATTATTTGCACTCGACGCGCGTTTCGCTAATTTGAACAGTATCTTCAGGAGTTTATTGTATTTTATAAAAATAAAATATACGTTTCATAGAAATGTGATTTATTTTACTTTTCGCTCATTCAACGTTATATTTTATTGTTTTCAATGAAAAAGTCTCTTTGAGTATTAGTCACAGTTCATTTCCACTAATCAATTATGTTCATCACATACCTTGTCGATTTGGCGTCTTCTATAAATTTATTCAACTCGTTTCGAGTGATTTTGAAATGTGAAAAAAGAGAAAAAATTACTGGATCTAGTCTTGAATAAGAATTTGTACTTGCGTTGAGTGATTTCCAAGTTGAAAAGTAGGGAACAATGATTGAACCTTGCTTAGAATTACCGAATGAAATGAAAAATGTATTTATGAAATTAACGAAAACAAAATGCCTCACTTCTCGTAAACAATCACGAAATAAATGTTTTATTTTTTGTAAACGATTACCGATTGTGCCTTTTATATTTTTATATCATTCGCTAATTCTTGTCTCGGTTCAGTAATTTTATCATACTTTTCAACTCTGAAATCACACAATACATGAACAAATTTCCATTCAGAAATCTGATCAGTCATTACTCTATCTCTTTTGCCTCTATGAAATCACTCAAAGTAAATGGAGCAAAATGAATGTATAGAAGACGCCAAAGTGATGAGCTATGTAATAAATAGCATCCTTTATTAGTGAAAATATTTGTAGATTCGATACTTTATCATTGAAAAATAATGAAAAGAATGTATTAGAAAAAATATATGTAATACGATAGGATTTCATTTTTGGTAACGCGCTACTCGCGCTCGTTACACAAAATTAAACTTTTCGTAACCCTTTAAATAAATAGCTATTCTAGAAGTATGGCCAAGCATAAAATGCATCAAATATACTATTTTCACAAACCTATTCTGATAGGTTTGTCTGATAGAAATCATCCGTTTTCACAAAGCTACATTTTTTGGAATCACAAACTCAACTGCAAACAAGAGAAATCTGAAATAAGATTCAAAATTTGCACATCATTTTCGTATTTTCAATTTTTAAGGGGCGCCGCCACTGGGATCTCTGCAAACATAATAATCCTCAAAGTAATATTATAATCAGTTCATTTAGTTCTATTGACTTCACCAGCGCAGCGTTGCCAAGTGATTTACACAAGAATATAGGCATGTGATAAGAAATGTTCTACTATATTCTTGCCGCACTTATTTCGAGTGCTTACTTCCTCTACCCGCCAGCAGGGACGTGCGTCTTTGATTAATTTGGCTAGACAGAGTGAAGCAAGAACAGAGATGCAATATCGTTGACAGATAATAAGTTAGTCACGTGCTCCCACGGCCTCTTAAGGCATTGAGAAAAGTGAATCTTTTAGTGTGTGAAACGTAAAAGTTGTGAATGAGTTATTCAATATAAAATTGGTTTCAAAATACGAGAATGCCTTACGAACCACACCACTGCTGAGGCATAAACGTAACTGCATTGAATTTCATAAAGAGACGAAGATATTTTGCCTAATCATGTCATGACTCGTAACTTACTTTGTGATTTACTTTGTTTATTACATAAATATTAAGTACCTATTGTGATATTAGGTAACAACTGAAATAATTTTATGTTTAATATTTTTGAAACACCATCTCAACTTCTGAGATTCGTTCGTACGGGGGTGACAGCTGATTAACGGAAAAACAGATTTTTTTTAAACCCATTTAAAGTATTTTCAAGGTGCAATTAATATTTTTTCTTAAATAAAAGTTTATTATGTTGATTATCAAAAGTAAAAATGTCGAAGATTGCATAACGTTGTGATTTAAAGATAAAAAAATAAAGACTTACTGATTGTTATAATGTTTTCTTTATTTTTCCCTCAAAACATAATCCTTGTAAGAAAGTTTCGGTTTCGGCCGAAACTGAGACCGTTGCCAAAATTCGGTTTCGGTCGTAAAAACCAGTTTCGGTCGGACACTAGATAAGTTCATGTGATATTGAATTGATTTTTATATTTTTTGTGGATGAGACACACTGTTTCCAAAATAAAAAGACATACTAAGGTCAGAATTTTTTGCTTCACATTTAAAGGGCGGCATGAATCCCTTTAGCTAGCCTTGCATAAATATCTGATGGATATTTTTTGTAGAGATAATACCATATTGAATCGAAATTGTGCACAATTGCCCCAGAAACAAATTCCATAACATAAACAGGACTCGATTTGTGCAAAATAAACTGATCTTGTAATAGCAGTAACTAACTCTCTTGCAACAACTCTCACTGCATGGCATCCTGCGGCTAATCTTTCACATAAGTAGTCGACATGGGAATCAAATTTTAGATTTTCATCAATGTAGAGCCCTAAAAATGTTTCTCTCGAATTATTCAATTTTTACATTTTCCAAGTATACTTCCCCTATGTTACATATAAACGTGATCACATTTGTTTTGTCGATATTGAATGATGAAAGATTGAAATCGCACCACTCTTTCATCCTTCTTATGTCGACGATGAGTTGATATCAAGTGAATTTGAGGTGGTAATGCTATGCCAGAGAATAGTGGTGTCGTCAGCGAAACATGTGAATCAACCACATATGTCAACATGGACTAAGTCACTGACATACATGAGAAACAACACCCGCCCCAAAACGAAACCTTGCGAGATCCCACAGCCAATGAAACGATCCTCTGAATTCCATCTAATAGAACATTCTGCCACCGATGAGAAAGGTACGTCTCAAACCAAAGTAATGCAGATTCTCTAAATCCGTAAACTTCTAGCTTGCGGAGAAGTACCATGTGGTCTATACAATCAAAGGCCATGGATAGATAACAAAACATGGCTGTCGCTGATTCTCTTTCGTTAAGATTGGTGTACAGGTTTTCCAGGAGAGAAAATATAGCGTCTTACGTACCTTTTGAAGACTGAAAGCTAAACTGGAATGAATTCATTATATTGTTTTTCTCGAGGAAGGATATTATTCGGTTTTTTTCCAGTTTTTCTATAACTCTAGACAAGACGGGACAAGCTGGATTGTCAAGATCGCCTCCTTTATGAAGAGGATCGTGTCATTTGACATTTGTCAAACCCAAAATAATCCCATACATGTTTAACTTTCTTTATCAATTTATATGTTCAATTTATTGTTTTTCAATCATTTTTACTGCCCTGAAGAGGCTTCCCATCAGAAGCGAAAACTTGGCAAAGTAGAGCAGAGTTTTGATTTTTTGACTGAGAGACTTCGTTAATCCATTTTACTGTACATTTCTCCAGTCGCTAAGATTATCTACTTTATACAGTGTCACACATAAGTCCGCATCAAATGTATTTTTGTTTGTTCATCTCTTCAAGCAACTTTTGATATCTCCATTAAGTTGTGCTTTAAAAATGATGTCAAATGACATGCATATGACCGATCAAGTGATTTTTCTTCCCTGTCCAATTTGACATTTTTTCCAAAAAATGTTCAGAAAAGCAGTTATTGCTCGAAATTTCGAAAATCGGTAAAGAGAAAAGATGAAGCAAACACCAAAGAGCAACAAACTTCAATTCAAAAGAAGAAGCAGTTTTGCTTAGTATTGTTACAAAATATAAGGGAATTATTGAAAATAAAAAAACAGACAGTAACAATAATAAACAAAAGCGTGAATGTTGGGAAAAAATTGAAGTACAGTTCAACAGTCACAGTGGTGAGGTCTTCAGAGGTTGGAACACGTTAAGGAAAAAATATGAAAACATTAAAAAAAGGAGTAAAAGAAAAATAGCAGATGCAAAATGTCATGTAATGTCTACTGGAGGAGGCCCACCGAATAAACCAATTGAAGTCAATGATGTTGACATACTTGTAAGGGATATTTCGGGCAGTAGAGTTGAAGGACTGCAATCTGAGTTTGGAGGTGATGCATCTATTTCAGGAACAGGTTAGTTATTACCATCTTCAACAGAGAATTGTGTTTTATTCATTCATTCAAATTTCATTCAAGACTTTCTTACTGAAATAGCAATATGTCGCTAGGATAACTTTGATTTCCTTTGTTTTTAAAATTCATAACAATTGAATGTGAGGATAATGATATCTCTTTTGGAATACCTGAGGTGATACCAAATAATGATTTTACGGAGGAAGAATATGCCATTCAAGGTAAGATACTACACAATTAATTTAATGAAATGAATAAGGTATACTTAATGCCACATTTAGAAATATCGTTTACCAGAAAATTACTTTTTTTCAAGGACAATTGGAGAATACACAACATGAAACAAAGAGAATGGATCAGATGAAAGAAGAAACAAAGGCTAAAATGGACTGGTCCAAATCTACTCCCGACAACTTAAGGACCCTAAAATCTAAGGTTCTTATTTCAGGTAGGTAAACATGTACTTTTTTGAGATGAGCATCAATAGCCGATGTTTCAAGTACGATGTCGATGTTTTTTTGCCATCCAAATGTTCCATGTTGTTGGTATATCTCGATGGTATTGTTTTGAACTACCATCAATGTTTTGTACAATGGTACATATAGAATTTAGTGACGGGATAATTCGAATGGAAAATGATTATTCGATTCTTGCAATAATCAATTTTTGTCGACTACTTTAACATTTTGGTTAGATAATATTTAGTAAAATAAAACCTACTGACAAAAAAATAACGTTTCAATTTTACTTTCAGGCGAGTCTGGGAATAAGCGAAAAAGGAATGAGTATGAAACACTTTGTAGTAAAGTAAGTCACTGGGCAGAAGCCAAATCAAGTTTAGAGCAAATCAAAATTTCTCAGATGGAGAAAGAACACAATTTGAAATTGAAAATAATGAAAGATAAATCAGAAGCTGAAATTGAAATGATGAGAAAGGAGACAGAAGCCAGGATTGACAACTCCAGAAAAGAACTGGAGGTAACTCTGGAGGGTATTAGGGAGCAAAACAATTTAAAAAAGGAGATTTTGTTATTAGAAAAACATTTTCTTCTTTTGAAAAAGTCGCAAAATTATGAGATGCCTAAAAAATTTCAATTTTTCAATGTAACAGGATAGTTTTCTATGTTCATTCTTTGTATTTATTTAGAAAAATGGTAAAATAAATGTTTGTGAATTAATCCTATCCAGTGTTTTATTTGTTGCTTAACAATGTACTGAGAAGAAGGAAATAGAAAACGATATAGGCCTTATATTTGGATTTATTTTACAAATTACTGAAATAGTCATTAATCAATTGATGCCTCACTACATTGTTAAGANTTGTGAATTAATCCTATCCAGTGTTTTATTTGTTGCTTAACAATGTACTAAGAAGGAGGAAATAGAAAACGATATAGGCCTTATATTTGGATTTATTTTACAAATTACTGAAATAGTCATTAATCAACAGATGCCTCACTACATTGTTAAGATTATTCATATCATTAATATTGATATGGTTATCCACATCATTGACAAAATCTATGGCAGCTTCTTCTTCCTCATTAATAGGTGGTACAGGTTCATCAAAAAGCTTGCAAATTATTCAAGGTTTTTTAGTTTTGTTTTTTAAATTTCGAATGGGAAATGCACAATTGGAATTTACAGAAAATAATTTGTGGATTTCACTCAGGAAGTCTTCTAAATGTAGGACGTTGTTCCAGTAAACTCTCCACAAAGTTGGGCAAACTTACTATAGTTGTGTTTACTGAAAAATCTACGTCGTCGTAAGCACTTTTAGTTGACGTTCCTCTCTAAGGATAAATTACACAAAATGGCTTCATGGTCTTATAAACTAGAATGTACAACCATTCACTCAACTGCAATAATAGTTGTACATAAATAATCAATGATCGTGGAAGAGGAATTAGAGATTCTTGTAGGGGTGTCTACACGCATATGCAGGTTAAATGATGTGAGCAGGTTAAGCAATAGCTTAGTATTAGCAGATGTTATATCAGAAAAGTTTATATTAAGATCACCTGTGAGAAGTAAGAATGCATTTAACGAAAGCCGATCTACAAGAAACTCCAATCTCTTCAAAAAATTTACAAATTAGAAGTAGGGGGTCTGTCTGTATACACTACACATATTACAAAAAGATTTAATTCCATGCATCTTATGATTGACAATTCAAACTCTCCACAATTAAATGATACAATTCGTCGACATTGAAGAAATTGAATTTGTTTCGAAACAAAATTTCTAATTTTACTACCGACCAGAAGGATCAAGACCTTTTGGGATTGGAAAGCAGTTTATCCCTAATTATCTGATTGTGAAGTTCTTTGCTTTCATGTATCCTAAGTTTGCAGGTGTTGCGAGCATTAACAAACCTAGTTCGGTTTTCGCCACTGGGATTTTTGCACCTCTGGCGATAAGCGAGATTTTTGGAGGCAACATGGATGATAGAATAACTTTCGTTACTGCAGAAGCACGAGTTGATGGAGTTTTAGAGCTAAAACAAACATCTTGCAAGGGGAGATTTCGGAAATGGTCTTGAAGATCCTCCCATTCAGCTGATCCGTAATGCCAAACTTTGCACGGCTTAGATTGTTCCAACATTCTTCAGTAAATCACTCAAGACTGAAATGAGTTTGTGGTCAGAAGATCCCAATGGAGACCTTGCGGTTTGTTAGTTCAGGAATCCTGGTTGGCTCATTCATAATCTGAGTAAGTCCGCTGTTTTATAAAGCTCAGATCAGACCTTCTTTGGAGTATTGTTTTCATGTATGGAGCTCTGCTCCAAAACATACCCTGAAGTTGCTGGATTCCATCCAGAAAAGAGCCATTCGCCTGATTGGAGACGCGAACATCACATGCAACCTTGATAGCCTGGAACATCGAAGAAAGGTTGGAGATTCGTCTCTCTTTTATAAATACTTTCATGGAAGGTGTTTAAGTGACTTGGCACATTTGATTCCACCAAGAGCGGTACATATCAGAAGTACGCGATGTCTGTCGCTGATCATCGTTTTGAGGTTCAACTCAGTACACCCTCGAACTTCACTGTTTAAGAACTCTTTCATCTGGAGAACTGCGTTTATGTGTAATAAAGTTCCTGAGAACGTTTTTCCAAATGAATTTAATCTCCAGCGATTCAAATCCAATGTGAATCGCTACCTTCGCACACACACCGCTTCTAGAGCGCCTTAAGGATTTTCCTGTAGTGCTTGTGTTTTTCCTTAAAAAAATGCCTATGAAATATATTGCTAACACAGAAATGAATCACCTAACAAAAAAGTTGTATCCGAGATTTCTGCAAATGCTTTCAAAGATTCCTTTTTTTTTTTTTTTCGATAGAAGAAAAAAACATGTATTAATGATGATTTATTTCTTGCATATGTATTCTATGATTTTATCTTTTTAAATTTGTATATTTTATCCAACATAAATATATGTCATCTGTCGCATGTATTTATATACTGATAACACACCAACAAGATACAGATGAAAAACAAAGAAACACAGAAGGAACTAAAGCCATCACAGACAAAATGAGAACAATTGAAAGGGGGATATTTTTAGGATAGATTAATTTTTGGGAAAGAAAGGTTTTGGCTTTCCACTTCTCCATCTTTATACAAAAAAATATGGGAATCTTCCACTATACATAGATGTGTAGATCATGCAAAGAAGTAACTTTCAGACACAAATTGGAAGAGAAGTTCTCTCGAAACAGTTATTTTCATATAAACATTGAATTACACAAAAGAAAAAACTTTCGAAACAAATACTTTTATATATGATTGAATTGGCCGATACTTGACGAATATCCATAATTAACGTATTCAAAAAACACTTTATTGTGAGACTGTCACTAAACAGTTTTAAAAAAATGCAACACGTGTTTCGCCATACAATGGCTTCTTCGATCATGTCATTACTAACCATATTTGAATTACCTACTTTTCAAGTACATGAGTTTTACCTGAGCTTGTAATGAATTAAATTACCTGAGCTTATGTCCCAGTTTCCACATTTGAAAAAATATTTAGTAACGGGGAGTTATTCAAGTCTAATTGATCATTCAGTAAAGTCCCGAATTCTTGTATCTATTGATTTCTAAACATTCTAGCAGATTGGTTTTCAAACTTTTCTCTTCTAATTAAAATATGTCGTATTCGTGATTGAACTCATGCCCTTTCTGCTAAAAGATGGTTTGCAAATGTGGAATTGGTCTTTCTATTTACCAAACTACTTCTATGTTCTTCAATTCATTCGGAAAATGTTCTCCCTGTTTGGCCAATATACAGTTTTGGGCAAGAGCCACAAGTCAGCTTATATCCGACACCAAAGTTTGGTCTTTATTGTTTTTAATAAATTTACTTAGACCATTATTCGTTATGTAAGCTACGTTTACACATTCTCTCTTCAAGAAACAGGTCGTGTTATGGGAGGGTTCACCCAAATATGACAATGTCCTATAACGAACGTTATCGCATCTTGAATTTGGGTAGACCAAGTCCATGGCTTGCTTTTGTAGTTTTTTTTTGTAAAGAATGGAGTCTATAATATCTACCTTATAACGGTTAAAGACCGCGATTTGTTTAATCAAACTCATGTCTCTATAGAAATTACTCTCAGACAGTGTAATATTCAATAGTATGAAGCATACTATTGAATGCAGCAACATTATGCTGGTAATGGTGTGTGGAGGAATTATGTATAATAATGTCCGTGTCAGATGGTTTGTGTAAAATTGCAAATTCATATTTATTGTTACTTTTCGTAATGGTTATGTCAAGGTAATTTTTTGAATTATTTACCTCCCCTTCAGTGGCCAATTTAATTGACGGGTGGATGGAATTGACATATTCAACGAACTTGTCTAATTGCCTATCTGTGCCAGTAAAACAGACTAAGATATCATCTAAGTATTTGTACCAGTACAAGAAACTGTTAGTTAACTGACTATTATGGATTTCATCCTCTATGTTATCCATGAAAATTTGAGCCAGCAACTGACTCAAAGGGGGTCCTTCACTGCAGGAATAAAATTTTTTCAACTGGAAATACTTTTGAGATAGACAAATAGTACGTTAATATGAAATTTTCTGTTTTATTAGTGGATTCATGTGATTTTTGTCTGAGAGACGCTCAACCAGTCCAATTGTTTCAATTGGCGGAATAGTGGGAAATACATTTTGGACATCAAATGATATTAACTTTGCGTTATCAGGAAGAATTACGTTTTCAATATTATTCACTAATTAATAAGAATTATTTATGCTGAATTTCGGCTTGAAATTGAATAAATTTCATAAGTATTTCTGTGATTTTTTATGGTAGTTGCCGTCACAAACGATACCACATCTCCATAGGAGTTTGCATCCCAAATTGACCATTCCACGGTTGTACATTTACCGACAACAGGTAGGCCGTGGACTTTTGGGTCTGGGGTGTCTACATGATACCCCAGAATGACAGAATGGTACTGGATGGAGCCTGTAAAGTCGTCATGAGTTCGGATCCGTTTCTCTGCATGGTCCGCGACCATAAGAGATTAGGAATTGGAGCATTTTTCTTTAGGGCGCTGACCGAGCAGCTGATGACCTCGTTTTAGTTTTCGACACTGAACTAGGTTTCCTGAACCCGTTCAGGAAAAGGCTCATATAAAAGTCCCGGATATCACCTCACTTCTGCGGCAACACAAGGATAAGCCAATGCATGGGGTCTTCTTCAATAACATTTAAGACCATGGTTCATCAAAGCGCCTGACTTTCGCTCTCCTCAGGTCGAGTGGGCCGAAGACGGAAACATGGTCTGTCAGGATGCTGTCTTCAATACCTTAGTCTACCGCAGTCGCGTGATGGGTATAGAGGTTTCTGACACAAGGTGCAGGGCCTGCCGCAAGGCATCTGAGACCCCAATGCATATGATGTCAGCATGTCCAGCATATCGTCGGCCTAACTGCCATTTGGCCTATTTTACAGGAGAGCAATGAAACTTTCTCATTTGACACTTCCTCTATGGTTTCTTACGAAATCAAACACTGTTGTATGGAAACAAGAAAATAATCTGTCACACACCAGGTTTTGTTGATTATTATTTTTTTTATCGTTTCTCAGTGAGTTACATGTTCTGTAAATACTGATTTCTGGAGTTAGGTGTTATGGAATGCGGAGTTGAAGGTTTTGGACAGAGCTTAAATATCCGCCTACATCTCAAAACTAGGAGTTACGTTAAATTCGTAATAGTACAAGAGTTCATATTTGATTCCATGAAGTAACAATGAATGAAAAGGGGTGTTCGATTCTCCAATTTTACATGATTCAAAGGTCCCAATAATCAAACAGATTTTAATTGGATTAGTTTATTACACAAAAATTCAGAGACAAACCAAACAAAGTTGGAATAACGTTAAATTTTTCTTAATTAATCAGTTTGCAAAACATCGTAAAATGAATGGTAGTCGGAAGGCATTGTTTGTTTTAGCTCATGTAGATGATTATATTTTGATCGAGGAATCTTTCGTTTGGATGTGTACAGTTGAGGAAAATCAAATTGACCAATTAAATGTGAATCGATACACGCCATGGCAGTTGTTTCTTTCCTTCTAGATCGTGTGTTTTTTGATTGTTTGGGTTCGCAAATTGGTAGCGGTTTGTAGTCATCTTCATAATTTAGTTTGTAGTATATCTTACCATCTTCTATGTACAAAAGACAGCGAATATCTGTTACTTTTGGTTGATCTACACCTACTCCAGGTCTGATTGATTTATATGGCATAGCTTTAGTATAATCTTTGAAAAAATTGTAGTCTAAGTATTGAACTTTATAAGGCCTGGGGTTCTTTCTGGCCTTGGAACATACTTCTGCGTAATCAGCTGGAACATGTATATCTCTATTTTTCAGATATCTCTCAATTGTTGAATGAATTGAATCACATTCCATTGAGTCACATTGAATCACATTTCCCATAGAAACGGGTGTGCCCCTTTTCTAAATATTTTTGTTCTATGACAATATTATACTGTTTTGCTAAATGCATTAGTGCATTTGCCAATATAGCACAACGATTTTGATAATTGCAACCATCGCTGAAAATTATCACTTTATCACTATTGTTTCTTAGAGGTAGTTGGGAAACAATGAAGTGTGTCAAAATGCTTGCAAACTCATTTCCAGTGAGTTCACCTTCACTCTCATTCCATAAGTAGCAATAGTCATCCTTAAATCTCAAGTCAAAGAATGTCATATTATGTACAGATAATTTGCTTCGATAGTATAATGCTGATGCATTGGATTTTGGGCTTAAAAGTAACGACTGTAAATCGACTGTGTAGACATGTTCTTCATTAGCTTTGTCAAATTCTTTTGCTTTTCTTGCTTCTTCTTTTTTTTTCATATGATCGTCATAGCTGCTTTTATCAATGTGATTATGTTTGAATGAAATGCACCTGTCACACTGATCTTTTTTTGGTCTGTAGAGACTAAGGTTCAGGTCCTCAAATATTTTATGGAACGTACAACTGGATAATGGATTCATGTTTCTCTGCCCACACCAATCTCATTGCAGTAAAATTCATACAATTTTGCCTTTGATGACCAACATGGTTCAAGATACAGTTTATTTGATGATGATCTACAATAATGGCTCTCAACTTTTGGGAGTGTCGAGAAAAACTCTTTCATAGAAATATTTTTTTCAATCAATTCATTTCGCTTTGATTTAACATTTTTCTGTGGTCTTCTTCTTTTATTTCTTGTTTTCGTAATATCTCCATCTTCACTTATTACTTCATTATCATTAATATCATCACTTTTTCTGTCTTTTATCCAATTTAATGCCATCCAATCACCGATACTAAGCGTTGCTAAAAATGTACTTTTGCAAACACGCAATTTGCTGTGGTCCACTGTCAAATGAAATTGATAAGTGAATTGTCTCCTCGATTGTCCTGGCTCTTTCCTGTCACGTGCTCTCCCCGTTAAATTCACATCTATTAACCCTCTAACATAAATCCTTTCTGCTTCCCACGACATTTCCCAAAATTGTTGAAATATTTTTTTCCTCTGCTCAATGGATAAAGAAGCACAGTGGAATTTGAGACTTTTACACTTACATTTCACATCTTTCATTTTTCTTTGGGGCTTGATAACGGAAAATTTTGACTTTCCATCTATCAGGTTTCTTCGTTGGTATTCCTCGCCCTTTTCTCTCAAAATCTTTGCTGTCTTGCTCTCCCATTTCCTTTCATTAACCTTGTGCCTTTTTCTACGCTCTTCTTTAATGTTATCGCCAGCTATATTTATTGTATTCTCATTTTCATTTGCTTGTGAAACAGAGCTATCAATAAGTGACGTGTTCTCTTCTATGAACCCATTATTTGTTTCCTCGATTATATCAGGAACTTGAAGTGAAACGGTGCTGCCGATGATTATTGACGTGTTTTCTTGTATAATCTCATTTATGGTTTCCTCGATTACATTAGAAACTTGTCGTGAAACAGTGCTGTCAATAATTGACGTGTTCTCTTCTATAACCCCAACATTTGTTTCTTCAGTTACATTAGGAAATACATTGCTATCTGATATTCCTTCACTTGGAATCATACTATCATACAAAGGTGGAAGTGAATCTATAGCAATAACAGTGGTAGTATCAATACTAGTCACTGCGTTAGATATCTCTACAAGAGATCCATCAGCCTGCACAATAAATACTTGGCTAGCAATAACAGAATCAGTACGATCTGTCGAGGACTCCATTATATCACAATTCAATGCATCATAGTTTTCTTTTAAAGAGGATGTTTCAGCAACAAAACTGGAATGGTCTTGATTCATGAGAGATTTTTCCTCCTGTTTTTCATTTTTTAGCAAATTTAATATCTTTCGTGCTCTTGAACTCATCTGAAATCAAAGTTGGAAATTTCAGGTAGGAAAAAACTTCTGTATTTCAAATTCGAATATGTGACTCAATACGTAACTCCACAAATAGATCTAAAACTGAAAAGTTTCAGAAAGCAAAACATTTATGTTGCATTAACAAAACACGTAACTCCAGTTATCACCTATTTGCAAGCCTTCGGGGACCTTCGGATTATGATTGATAAAAGATATAATTTCTATTTAAATGATTATTTGAGGTATTTCATTAATTATTATCGGCGATTAAACGTGAAATGACTGCGATAGTTGAAATAAAAAGAGGCTTAAATCAAAACACGTTACTCCAATACAGAGTTTTATAACCTATAATCTCTGATTTAGTCAAACCGCATAACTCCAATTCATATTAATTCATATTATTCAACTATTCACAATATGAAAATCACTTTTCTATTTGAAAAATATAAAAAAACGGTACTCACTTCGTCAGTGTATTCAACCACGATTGTTAAAAAACTGAATATGTAATAAAAAAACCACTTGGTAGAGCACTGTTGACATGCCTATTACTAACACATGGACAACTAGGAGTTAGTGGGTTGGAAATAACAAAAAACCCTAACAAAAGATACGTGGTTTGGAAATTCCTTTTTATTAAATTTAACGAATTTTTTGGAGGTACGAGGTTTATATCATTGGTGTAGAGCATTTTCTACAACAATTTGGTATAATAAACTCGAAACTGATTTTCGTGGAGTTACATGGTTTTACAATTAGGCCGACGATATGCAGTCTCGGCCTATATCCATCGACATAAGAGTGCTAAATTGCCACCTACGGCATCCTACGGCACTCGACAACCAGATAAAGATATTTGTCGTGGAGTTTTCATCTCTTGGCGAGACGAATATCGTCTGAAAAGAAGTGGAAAAACGGATAAAATATCGATATTTTCTCCACGAACTCCGCAAACTCTATCCAGATCTTTCTGTCAAGATGGTTGTTCTGATTATTGGAGTCCTTGATGGAATGATTAACCTCTCTATTCTCGAATCACAAAATCATACCGAATTGCACTAAGGCAGAAATATTAGCCGGACATATGTAGAAGGATGTCATTCTTGGCTCACTGCGCTTGCTCAGGGCACGTTATTCTCGGACCCAACGATCACTTACTCCACGGTGTGGGAAGTGGTCGTTGGTTTATAACGCTAGCGCGCCCTCTGAATGCATCGGGGCTTCGGAGTACAGGGCCTGATCAGCGGAAACTTAGGTTAAACAAATAATTCCAGTGAAAGGTTAATATGAAAGGAACTCAATACAACAGACAGATAAAGCTCTAGCTGAAATAGATATTTGGTTTACTGCAGATATACTCTTGCTGAACAGAGAAAAAACTCAAAGGCTAATGCTGTCAAGAACAATACAGAGAAAAAGAAACTAAAATTTCTGGGAATATATATGGACTTGAAATTAAATTGAAAGGCACAAATTACTAATTTGAATAAAAAGCTTAATTCAGCAAAATATATTGTATAATGATAGTGTGAATAATGTCGACACACCAAGTAGCAAAAATAGCTTTTTATGCAAACTTTCAGAGTATAGCAACATATGGAATTCTTTTGTGAAACAAACAAAATATTTGCCCAGCAAAAAAAACATCAGAACTCTATGCTGACTTGGATATAGAGATGGTTACAAAGATGATTTTCGCCAACAAAGAATACTTACAATTTCCAGCAATGAATTTGTTGATGCAAAAAGAAAAGTTCTCAAAAAATGCAATCAATCATTCTTATGGTACCAGATCTAAGGATTTACTGCAACTTCCTCATCACCAAATGAAGAAAACACAACATGATGTGATTATTGGGACGCAAAATTATATAACAAAATACCAGATTTCGTGAAAAAGAGAAACCTGAATAAATTCTTCATTTGGCTGATAAATGTCCTGATATAAAAAGTTTTCATTTGATAGAAGATTTAGTAAATGACTTCATCTACATCTACATGGCCTATATTTCTAGTAAGTTTATATTATATGTACATGATATTTTTGTATATATTTTACTACACTCATGTTATTTCTTAAAATATCTTATTGTCCAAAACTTATTGAAACGAAATAATGATATTATCCAAATACAAAGAGGAAAGAAGAAATATTGAAAATATTAAAGATAACAACATTGAATATGAGTCACCTTCCGAAAAAGCCAACATATTTGCTTAAAACTTCAAAAAATCTACAAAGTGACTTGACCTTTGATCGCAATCATTATGGAAATGTGATCGAATAGTATGAAAACTTTTCTGAGATCCTACTTAACCATAGGAATTCCGCAACCTCTCCTACAGCCAACGTTTACCGCAACATCTTGCATTCAAAATCAACAGTTAATTACCTAGGTGCTACTCTTGACTCCAGACCAAATTACTACAGCCATTTCAGTAACAAAAACGTTATACCAAAATCCGCACATTTCATAAGTTTGATAAACTAGAGAGTACAGGCAAGCATAAAAACAGTACTGCAGAATATAAAAACTAATATATCATCCACTTATTGAATACCTGCACTCGCTGTTTCACAATATGAAAAAAGAGCCTTGAATATAATTAAAGTATCTGAAACAACGTATATGGACATCAACAAGGATAAGGCATTTCAATAACTCCATACACAACCCACCAAACCCTCTGCTGTACCAACTCACAGGTATTATGCCTATAGAGGGAAGACTACCGCTACTTACTCAGATGTTTGCTAAAAAATACTTCGATGTAAAAATCATTAGAAAGTATGCTGTGATGAGAAACCCCATAGGAGGAATCCTACATCACAACTCAACAGAAACACTTCTTGAAAAACTAACACCCCTTTACAACGTTTCATTTTATCAAAATCATATATGTATTTTTTTGTGAAATATTGTAAAATCAGTCTATTTAATTCAAACCAATTTTGTAACACGGGCAGAAGGACCGCGGTCGATAGCCAGTTGGGCAAAATTGTAATTTTGTTCAATGAACTACAATTATTATCATTATTATTTTGTATTATCTGATTAATATCTTGATATTTTTAATCCAAATGCTACTGTTTATATGTATTTTTTTAAACACAATGAAAATAACAATATTGTGATGTTTCATTTACAATGAATAAATTGATTGATTGATGTAAAAAGACAAGCATCAATCCAAGTATAGTAAATCCATACTCCGACTCGACCTTTCACAAACTTTTCTTCTCTATTTTCATGAAGTTACTGAATATGTATCAAAAATACCATATATATACTAAATACTAACGGTCTATGGAAATGATAAGCTGATAGATGGAAAAGTTGATGATTTATTTTTTTTACCAAACATTAAACTCTATCAAAATAGAAGCTGTAGGTTGTGGTGAATTAAATATTGATTATATTAGATTATGCTGCCCGTATATAATATGTTCTGTAACCCATATCATCATTTCCTGCTTAGCAACTAATTTGTATCCGACATTGTGAAACAGTGCAATTATAAAAGTACTACAAAAAAAACGAATCCAAGTAATTTCAAAGATCTCAGAGCAATCAGTATATTGAAAATTTTGAAAAAAGCAATGGAACTACAAACAAAGGAATATCTGTAGTACTTCTCTATAATAACTTCGATTCAATCAGGTTTTTGTAAGGGATACAGCTGTACAACGGCACTCTTGCATATTGTTGACGATGTAATTAGAGCAACAGATCAGGGAAATTGTACTTGGTTGATTTTATTGGATTACAGTCGGGCCTTTGACATAATCAGCTATTAACTATTATTGAGGCCTCTTCAATAATGCTAATTTGCTCTTTGGATCATTCTTGAAAAATCGTCAACAAAAGGTCAATATAGACAGAGTTGAATCCCAATTCATTTCATTAAACCGTGGCGTCCCTCAAGGTTTATTTTGGGTCCACTGCTATTTGCTGTATATACTTTGACTTTAGTTAAGAGTCTTCAGTACTGCAAAATACACCTATATATTATAGCTGTCCTCCACAAATGATTGATAACAATTCTCGAATAAATGAAGATCTCCAAGCTTTCACAGGTACAGCCTTAATAATAGTTAATCTAATGTTATTGTTTTCGGCTCCAAAATCAATTGCTGTACTGTACTTAATGCTTTTGATGTTAGTATAAATGAAACTTCTCTCGCAATTGTTCAAGAAGCAAAAAGTCTGGGAGTTCTCCTAAATGACGATCCCAAATTTGAAAAACACATCAATATACTCTTACGTGCATATTTCATGTTGAGGATTATATGCGGTCAAAGGCATTCCTTTTCATCGAGGTTGAGGACAATATTATTGAGGCAACGGTCATTTCAAATTTCAATTTTGCAGATGTGCTCTGTGGTCCTAGTTCAACCAATCAATATGAATCAAAAATTCAAAAAATTCAAATTGTTGCTTGCAGTTAATCTATGGCATAAGGAGACATCCAAGAATTTCACACAAACTTAAAACTGTTGGCTGGTTGAATATGAGTAATAGAAGAGTTCTTCATTCTGCAGTACTTTTTCAAAAAATCATACTGACCAAAACCCCAGCATATCTGGATAGAAAAATCACTCATCGGACGGATGTTCATAATCTCAATGTTGGAAATAAAGATTTATTAACAGGTTTATTTCCGCTTGAACTTTTTAGACGCAGCTTTAGTTATCAAGTTTATGCAATCTACAGGGTGAGTCAAGAAGATTCCCTCGGTCCATTGCTATCAGAGGAAACAATTTTTCGAACTGCTCAATTTTTTTGCAGTCATGTCGATGAATACTATCTTTCAAAATTATTTTCTCGCATATTGAGCAGAGCGTGGCCACCTAGTATATGAATACGTCAGTTGATTACATATTTTTTTAGCTCTCTAAGGAATTTTTGTTTTCAAATTTCCATTGTGGCATTGCCAAGTTATTCCAAAAAAAACATATTTTGCAGACATTTTTTTAATTCACCACCCGCATATCTACAGGAATTAAGTTGATTTTTTTAGGAATAGTTAGTCAACATCACCATGTTCTCGTTCTCTTGTTCGTTAACAAGATATAGGGTGCTCGGTAAAACTGGTCAAGTTTAATTCATTTCAAACAGATATAATTCAACTTTTTCAAATGGAACACCTTGTATTTTTTCATTTGTATGGAATGTTTCAACATTTCACAACATTTTTTATCAGAGGTATACTATACGGAAAACTGATATTTTACAAATTATACCAAGTTTTAGTAATTGTCGTAACCACATAAAAATGTATTCTTCTTACGTTTACTTACTCAAATTTGTTTTTCGAATATTCAAACTAATCGCTAGTACATTAGCATACCATTTCATACCATCTAGTGATAGCTATCAGCGGTTTCAACGGTAAGAAATGCTTAAAAAACTAAAAAATATTTATACTGCTTTTTCTTTAAAAACCCATTTATCCATCCATGACTGATATCAAAAAATGAATATCGGAATTTGTCAATAACGCCATGTGTTGAAGTTTCTTTCGCGAATTATGTATTGGAAATTGGTTTTTAAAAAGAAAATCGATTTCACATAAGACTCAAGAAAGCGTTTATTCTCTTCGAGAGCAGTACAAAGAATGAATCTGGTCATTTTCACGCCTTGGTCAAAGACGAAAAGGACTGGTTTAAGTTTGACGATAGTCGTGTCACTAAGTGTTCTGGCGAAGTATTGAATTTATTGAAGCTTCTGGAGACACCTTACATTTTGTTTTATGAGAGAGA